CGCCGTCCCTAATTTAACAGTGTAAGACTAGAGGGAAGGCAACTAGTCATCACCACCCACCGCCATCTCTTGGATTACTCTTTTACCAACGAATAGTGGGATTGACCGTCACATTATAACGCCCCCACGGCTGAAAGGGTGAGCATGTTTGGTGTGACGGGGATTCGAACCCGCGACCCTCGGATTGTGAGTCTAGCGCCCTAACCACCTGGCCATGCCGGGCCTTCTTTTACTGCCCTTGATGTTCGCCAGGTGTAATAGGTAGTCGTCACACAACGTGTTTTATGTGGGTTTCATCTAACGAGAGAGGCCTAGTGTATTCTTGAACTTGCTATATCAATTTTATATTTGCTTGCCGTAAACAATATAAAACAGAGCTAATAAATTGGCGTAAGCTTTTAAACGCATATAAAAGCGGAATTAGGCGATAATGTATTTTTGAGAGATGTCAGCTTGATCGAATGTTCTGTGTTTAAAGTAATAATATGTAACTACAGTCCCTGAATGGTATTATAATGTTAGCCCTATGCAAGTTCGAAAGTTCTTATTGGTAGAGGAATGATTAATTATTATTGTTAGGCAAATTTCCCACATTAGTTCATTCAATAGTTTTCCATTGATTCGGCATTATTATTAGTTGTAAGTAGGCGAGCTAAAGTGTCTCATATAACACCAATGCTGGAAGAATAACTTTGTTCGTTGTTAAGCGCAAATCTACATAATGAATTAACTGTACTCCGCCAACTACGGGTATCTAAACCTGATTTTTTTTATTTTTTTTGCGTTACAAGCCCTCAGTCTTACCGTTGAGCTACCAGGGTGGGGTGAGAATGAAAGAACAACCTTTTTTTTTTTTTCAACGTTCATTACTTCTCATTGCGGCATCAAACTCCTTCTGGAGGAAGATGAATTCCTAGGATGGAGGATTTGACTTTTTTACCCTTTCCTGGGTTTGAATTGTACGATGACATTACACTTCGCTTTTGGTGGCGCTCTATGTATGTGGTAATTGATATCTTTCAAAGTATTTTCTTAAAGTTGATGGGCATTACATAAGTGAAACATTCCAAGCTTCATAAAAAGTCTCTGGTAGTACGTAGATCTGAGTCACAATTAAATTTAATGTATATAGTTCTACATCGAACTACAGGGCACTTAAATTTAAAATGAAACATGAAACCTACAAAAGAACAAATGATAACCTATAAAACATAGATAAACTATATTGAGCTGTGGATGTGTTGTCCCAGTACCTTTTGTGTGAGTTTATCTAGCTGTGGATGTGTTGTTCCAGTACCTTTTTGGTGTGTAGTTAACTAGGTGTGGGTGTGATATCTCAGTACTTTTGACGTAAATTTAGTAGTTGTGACTGTGCTGTCGCAATACTTTTGGTGTAAGTTTAGCTAGGTGTGGGTGTGGTGTCGCAATACTTTTGGTGTGAGTTTAGCTAGGTGTGGGTGTGGTGTCGTAATACTTTTGGTGTGAGTTTAGGTAGGTGTGGATGTGGTGGCCCAGTACTTTTTGTGTGAGTTTAGCTAAGTGTGGTGTGGTGTCCTAGTACCTTTTGGTGTGAAGTTATTAGGTGTGGGTGTGCTATCTCAGTACTTTTGCTGTGAGTATAGCTAGGTGTGGTGTGTTCTCCCTGTACTTTTGGTGTGAGTTTAGCTAGGTGTGGGTGTTATGTCTTAATACTTTTGATATAAGTTTAGCTAGTTGTGAGTGTGCTGTCGCAATACGTTTGGTATGAATTTTGCAAGGTAGAGTGTGGTATCCCAGTACTTTTTGTGTGAGTTTAGCTAGGTGTGGGTTTGGTGTTCCAGTACTTTTTGTGTGAGTTTAGCTAGGTGTGGGTTTGGTGTCCCAGTACTTTTTGTGTGAGTTTAGCTAGGTGTGGGTGTGGTGTCCCAGTACTTTTTGTGTGAGTTTAGTTAGGTGTGGGTGTGGTGTCCTAGTACCTTTTGGTGTGAAGTTATTAGGTGTGGGTGTGCTATCTCAGTACTTTTGACATAAATTTAGTAGTTGAGAGTGTGCTGTCGCAATACTTTTGGTGTGAGTTTAGCTAGGTGTGGGTGTGGTGTCTCAGTACTTTTTGTGTGAGTTTAGCTAGGTGTGGATGTGGTGGCCCAGTACTTTTTGTGTGAGTTTAGCTAAGTGTGGTGTCCTAGTACCTTTTAGTGTGAAGTTATTAGGTGTGGGTGTGCTATCTCAGTAGTTTTGCTGTGAGTATAGCTAGGTGTGGTGTGTTTTCCCTTTACTTTTGGTGTGTAGTTAACTAGGTGTGGGTGTGATATCTCAGTACTTTTGACGTAAATTTAGTAGTTGTGAGTGTGCTGTCGCAATACTTTTGGTGTGAGTTTAGCTAGGTGTGGGTGTGGTATCTCAGTACTTTTTGTGTGAGTTTAGCTAGGTGTAGGTTTAGTGTCCCAGTACTTTTTGTGTGAGTTTAGCTAGGTGTGGATGTGGTGGCCCAGTACTTTTTGTGTGAGTTTAGTTAGGTGTGGGTGTGGTGTTTCAGTATGTTTGGTGGGAGTTTAGCTATTTATGTTATGTTTAGGAAAGTTATAGAGGTCATCTTATTTTATTTGATTATCCTCATTTTGACATTCTCCTTTTAAATATAATTTTTCAACTCGGATGTAAGGCTGTCACTTACTGTTTGAATCCGGCCAGTGTTCAAAGTGAAAGTACAAATAACAATGCATTCTGAAGCTAGAAATAAGATATTATGAACTTCTGATCAGAATCTAATCATTTTAAAAATATAGAATATTTCTCTAAGTTCGGAAGCATTTCCACTAAAATTTACAGCAAGATAGTATGTTCTAAACGTTTTGAAAGAAAAAAAGTTAAAGTTGTTACCTGTTTATATTTTAGTAGTCTAAACACGTCCCAGATAACCTTCTGTTACAAGAATAAGAGCTAGTTATAATTTAGCCATTTATTGTCTGAGGCTGAAGATCTGACAGCCATAAATTATTAGTTATCAGAATTGATCATCTTAGATAATTATGTACAGTTGTAAGACTCATGAATATCGTTAAGATAATTAAAAAATAATAATTACTCCTATTTGGATTATAATGTCTCCTCCTTGTTAACAGATTACGAACCCATAAATGATTACGAAGATTGCAAGTTAAAACTGGAGTCAGTAATGATCGTTACAGGTGCCTAATTTACCTTATAAACACTATAAGATTATATGGATTTAGTTGATTAAAAACTTGGCTCCGTGGTTAGCGTTCCCGGACTGTGAATCAGAAGGTTCATGGTTCGTGTCCTGTCGTAGCAAAAACCGTTCTCTGCACTATGAGGCCGTAAGTGCGTTATATGAACGATGGTCTAATCCTACTGTTGACTCACTGTCTTCCCTCCAGTCTATAAGCTCAAAATTAGAGACAGGCTTGGACAAATGACCCTTGTATAGCTTTGCGTGAAAATAAACATCAAAGCTGCGGAAGCTTGTCGATTCGTTTATTGTGTATATCCTGTTTACCTTGGAAAAATACTGTCATTTGAACAAATTCCTTAAGTATTCTACTTGCTAAATGTTAGGTTTATGTACCCAAACATGTCATGTAGCAGGGAAAAGGTTAGACAATCTGAAAAGTGAGAAGTACATTTGAAGTGTGAGAAGTAGAAACATTTGTTAGTAATAATGAATTAGGCTTCAGTGAACGAATATCTTCGGTATCAGTTTCTGACGAAACGTTAATTTGATGCAAAGTATGGGGAGATTGGAGAGTTTTGCAAGAAATCTTTTGCAATTTGGTTTATTTTTCAGAAGGATGTTAAAATGATTTTTTTCTAATTCAAATTAACCGTTTTAATGACTAATAAGTACAAATATATTTGTGAAAATGTATATAATTGTATTTATTTCAATACCTTTATTACACTTGGACCCTTTGTTTACATTAAACATATTTAGATTTTCTGACGTTCAGCTGTTGTTGACTGAAAAAAACTACGTTTTTTGGAGTTCGAAGCTGGTTTGGTGATAGCTTCTTTTATACAAACCACATTTACGCAATTTCTGGGCTTCCCCCCCCCCCCAAAGCAATATTTATGTTGTATATGCTAAACAGCATATTGATGCTTTATTTTCAAAACAAACAAAAAACAAGTACAAATATTTAGCTTAAATGTATAAAGCTAGAAAAAACAAACAAACAATAGTCTTATGCTTGAATAAAACATTGTATCTTACCTAAAACAGTAACTCAAAGTTAATAGTTATTTCGTGGAGGCCTGGCATGGGCAGGTGGTTAGGGAGCTCGACTCGCAATCTGCGGGGCGCGGGTTCGAATCCCCGTCCTACCAAACATGCTCGCCCTTTCAGCCGTATGGGTGTTATAACGTGATGGTCAATCCCACTATTCGTTAGTAAAAGAGTAGCCCAAGAGTTGGCGGTGGGTGGTGATGACTAGCTGCCTTCCCTCTAGTCTTTCATCCCTAAATTAGGGACGGCTAGCGCAGATAGCTCTCGTGTAGCTTTGCGCGAAGTTCAAAATAAACAAACAAACAATCTTTCGTGAATGTATCATGCGTGCGGTTCTTTTAACCAATACTAATGCGAATATTGTAGCACCTAGCGGCAGTTTTGGAACTAAACACCATCTGTTATATGTTGGAAAGCTTAAGGCTATTGTAGCTGTAAGACGATTATCACTAATAAGTATTATCGATCCAGTAATTTTTAATTCTTGGATTGCATAATATATTTTGAAACGCGTTTAAATAGAGATGTTCGCGTGAGGAAGCTATTTATTATAGGTTTTAAAAATATATAAATTTTAGATTGTGAGAGAAATTATATATATACTGATAGCCACTCTAATTTACAGTTAATTTGTTATGATGTAAACGATAGTCGATAATATTGAACATTTTGTGTTTATGTACAAAATTGCACTCTATTTTTTCATAACCACTCTTTTCTTTTTATCTTAATAATACTTATCAATACCGAATTCTTAGTGTTGTTGTTGTTTTTACAGTTTACTAAGCAACATGTCATTGACACATACACAGCATTCATTAACAACTGGAAGTCTGCCAAGGACTCTATCAAATTGACCACCCAAGCGAAACCTGCTTTCCAGAAGTTTTTAGAGGTACGATCTAGTGTTTAGTTCTATATATCCAGATTTATTATTTTATAAATACCCTTGAATAAAACCCACTATCATAATACAAAGGTTACTTAGGCTTAGGCCTTGACCACCATGATTTCTCGAATATATAAAAAAAAGGCTTTTTAGAAATTGCAATTCAAGTATGAACATTGTAAGGGAACTGTTAGATCAAGTAGTGTGTTAATACTGTT